TGCCTCTTTTTCTGTCTTCTCCACCAGCTGCCTTCTGCTTCGTTTTTCTCCTCTCTTTCAGCCCCAAAAATGTGTTGGAAAATATATAATATAGGCAGCCTAATTGATTCACCCAAAACTGCCGACCAGCCGTCAATGTGTAAAATTATATAAAAATAGTGGCTGTCTTTGTTTTTGCATGTAATTATATTGGCTGCCACCCTCTCCAATTTCCTCCAGCAGCCGACCAGTTTTTATTTTACAAACTAATTCTAATCTCTGCTCGTGTTTTCTCCAATCTGCCGACACCAATGTGTAAATACAAATAATAGAATTCAACCCCAGCCGGCCGCCCCTCAATGTGTGTGAAAATTATAATAATGGCTGCCTCCCCTTTTTTTTCTACATGTGTTTGTATATATATACCTCAACAAGTAAACCCTTATTGTAGCCCAATTAGGGGTCCAAAATAATATTAAATTTGAATTCCAGGACAAGTCCAATTGAGGCCCACGTAATAGATTATTTTTCTTCAAGTCCTCAATTCTTTTAATGTGCAAAATTTGATCTCCAACTTCCATCCAACGTCCAACTTAGTCCACTACTTTAGATTGTTCCATTTTTCGCCCTTTTTGTGTCTTTCTTCAATTCTTCGTTCAAACATGAGTTTTACCTAAGAAAAATAATATAATAAAATTTTAGATCATATTTTGTCAAAAGAACAATAAAATTATATAATTTAGAGCCCCGAATAAGTGTATAAAATACAGTTATCAATCATCATGGAGAAAGGCATTATTAATATCAAACTGATATAGGTGCCACCTTTGGTGGCTCTAATGGCCAAAAGAAACCTAATGGTAATCAATTTTTTTGTTCCTTTTTAATGTAGCCTAGTGGTCTTTTAGTATATAATTTCTCATCTAAATCATCATGGAGAAAGGCATTATTGATATCAAACTGATATAGGTGCCACCTTTAGTGGCTCTAATGGCCAAAAGAAACCTGATGGTAATCAATCTAGCTAGAGGAGAAAAGGTTTCATGGCAGTCTATTCTTTCTTGCTATGAAAATTCCTCAGCTACTAACCTCACTTTGTATATTTAAGCACTATCATAAGCATGATATTTAATTTTTGTAAACCCACCGACAAACCACTGCCTCTTTGCCAGGTAATAAGTCAATAAATGTCCAAGTGTGATTGATTTCAAGAGCCATCAATTCATTATCCATAACTTTAATCCAATGAGAACTCTTTACAGCATCACTGTAGCTAGCAGGTTCAACATGAGTAAAAATGGAAGTAGTAAAAGATGTATAACTAGGTGAGAATCCATGATATGAAAGTGGAAAAATAGTAACTGAAATTTGTCCTTTGAGCCTTGACAATGAGGGAGAAAAATGATATGGAAGTAGTCGGTAGAGGTTCTATAACGACAGCTAACTTGCAATGGAAGTCTTGTAAATATTGAGGAGCATTTCTAGTCCTACATGATCTGTGAAGGGATGGTTCAGTAAGCCTAATTGTTAAAGGTTCTGTTTAGGGAGAAGATATAGGACTAGAGTGAAAGGAAAGAAAATCAATTGAATCAATTATGGGAGATTAAGTGGTGGCAATAGGAGGAAAATAAAAGGAAGAATTGTCTGGTATAGGATTTGTTATTACAAGTTGATTAGGGAAAGATTCATGAAAAAAACTATGAGTATAAGACTTAAGAAGGAACACAGTTTCATAGAAAATAATGTTGCGAGAGATAAAGATGGTGTGAAATTGTAAATCAAGCAACTTGTAAACTTTGATACTGAAAGGATAACCAATAAAAAAGGAAGGTCTACTTATAGGATTGAATTTGTTACGACCTTGTGAGAGAGTAGAGGCAATGGCTAAGTGAACAAAACACTTTCACATGACTATATTGAGGCTTCGTACCAAGTAGAATTTTAAAAGGACTCTTATTAAGCAACAATGGAGTAAGAGTGCGATTTATGATATAGGTAGTTGTAAGGACTGAGGATACATACATTCTGCCCAAAATTTCGTAGGATCCCCAGATTGGAACAATAAGGTCGCGATATATTAAGCAAATGCTAATTTTTCGTTTCAACAATTCCATTTTGTTGTGGGGGTCTTAACACATGTTTTTTAGATGAATAATTCCTCTTTGGGAATAAAAACTATATTAAAGTGACTTCAAAATACTTTTATCTTAGTTCCAAACTGATTTGCAACTAAGTTGGCAAAAGACTCAAGAAATTTCTTAGCCCCTGTTTGATCCCCATTTTGGGGGAAATAATGCACTTTGAATAGGAGAATGATGGAAAATGGGTGGTTAAAAAAAAAATGAATTTGCATGTAATATTATTTTATTGAAAATGTGTAGTTAAAAATGAATTTTGAAAAAAATGAATTTTTAGAAGAATGAGAATCAAACGGAGGCTTAGTATCTAATTTGTGCTTGAGCTTATATACCCGTGTGCTACATGACAAGCTGTCAATAATAGGTAGAAAATATGAAGAATGATCATATGCAGTGACAAAATACGAACACTATGCATCAAAGTGAATTAATTCAAACAAATTACTTGCTCAATGCTAAATCGAGGAAAAGAGGATTTGTGTTGCTTAGCTAAATGACAGATGAAGCAAGGAAGCGAAATTTGTGACTTCAAATTTAAAGATGCACTTAGAAAAGAATCTTCTATGAGCCTCAATCTCGCATCTAAAATATGGCCTAAATGATGGTGCCCCAAATCATGCTCAGTGAGTTTGTCTACTTCAAAAGCCAAAGAAGATTTTAAATTGCAAGAAAGTTGAGAAACTTGCATGTTGGATAACTTCAGGAGAGACCTTGTCAAGTTGTAGATAATACAAACCAAGCTTCATGCTACTCTTTTCCAATCGTCATCTAGGATAAAAGGTCCTAGATAAAACAACAATGAAGTTGGTCAATGAGTTTCTTGGATGAAAATAAATTAAAATTAAAAGAAGGTAGGCATAGAACATCACGTAGGATGATGGAATCGGTAACTTGAACATTACCCATATGAGTAACTAAAGAAATGTTACCATTAGATAATCTAACAAAGAATGATACATTGGAGGGAGAAGTGTTGTAAGAAGATGGATTACAGATTATATGATTTGTAGCCCTAGTATCTATTATCCAAGTGGATGTGTGCGCAATGGAGATGATAGATAAATTGAGTAACTAAGAAGAAGGATGAAGATTTTCTGAAATAATATTCAATATACAACCTCTATACTTGGCTGGTACATTAGAAAATATATAGCAAAAGTGTTCTGACCATTTTCATCAACCACTATCTACCTGCAATTTCCATACTTTTAGACAGATTATATAGCATTACATATGGTCATACTTTGATAGATTTTCAATACACAAATACATTAAAATATACTCCAAACAAGTACTACAAAGTACACTATCTTTGGACAGCAAAAAAATCAACTATCATTAACATTCCTCCTTGAGACTTTTGCTAGAAACACCAAGGCAACTCCTTAATGTTTCGAACCTTTCTTTGGACAAAGCTTTTGTTAAGATATCAGCATGTTGCTCACTTGAATTGCAATGCACAAGCTTCATTTCCAGCCTCTCTTGAGCTTCCCTAATTGAATGATACTTAATCTTTATGTATTTTGTTCTCCCATGGAATACTGGATTTTTTACCATTGCAACCGTTGATTTGTTGTCACAATAAATGACTGTTCCATCAGATTGTATGTGTCCAAGATCTTCCAACATTTTCCTTAACCAAACAGCTTGGTTTGTCGCCTCAAATGCTGCTATATACTCTGCTTCAGCAGTTGATTGTGCCACAGTCTTCTGCTTCATCGAATTCTAGCACACAATGTTTGAACCAACATAAAACACATAGCCTGAGGTACTCTTCATGTCATCTGCTAAACCTGCCCAGTCACTATCTGTATAACTAGTTAAAACCAAGTCCTCTGATCTCTTGAACCAAATTCCCATATTCTCACTTCCTTTTATGTACCTAAGGACTCTTTTTGCCGCTTGAAAATGTAATTCACTTGGCTCTTGTCTAAATCTGGATAGCACATTTGCAGCATAGGTGATATCTGGTCTTGTTATTGTAAGATATAGCAAGCAACTAGTTAGACTTCTATAGATCTTTTCATCCACTCTCTTAGTACCATCTTCCTTCATTAACTTTAGATTTTGTACTAATGGAGTTAACCGATTTGCAATTTTCCATATGGAACTTCTTCAACATTTCCCTGACATATCTCTTTTGGCAAACAAAGATACCTTCCTTAGTTTGTTCAATTTCCATTCCAAGAAAATATTGCATCTCACCAAGATCTGTCATTTCAAAACCTTTCTTCAATTCCTCCTTCACTTCTTCAATCAAGGTGCAATTGCTACCGGTTATTAGCAAATCATCAACATATAAGGATATGATGATCATCCCTTCTTCCACATATTTTATGTAAAGTGTTTGCTCATTTACACTTTTAACAAATCCCAAGCAGCACAAGTGATCATCAATGCGGCTGTACCATGCCCTTGGAGCCTGTTTTAAACCATACAAAGTCTTTTTTTAATAGATACACTGTTACAACCCACATTATTTAGTCAAAAGTCAAGAGTTGAATTTTCAAAATTAAAGTTACATAGGGACTTAAATGAAATAAATGACTTTATTGGGACTTGAATTGACTAAAATATTTTATTGGGGTTTATTTTGCAATTGACAATATATGAGGATTATATTGGATACAATTGGAAGTTGAAAATTTACTTATACATTTTTGGGAAGTTTAGGATTTAAATGTTAGCCCATATTAGAAAAGAGGGACTTTTTCTTGCAAATTGGAGTTAGTGGGTTTTTAATGCCTTTGACCATCACTTTTTCTCTCATAAATCGTGCACACACACACACTAGAAGAAAGAAAGAACCGGCAGCGAAGAAGAAAAAGGGAAAGAAAAGAGGGAAGAAAAAGAAGAAGAAAAAGGAAAAAAAAAAAAAAGAAAGAAGAAGAGAAAGAAAGGAAAGAGGTAGTTAAAGGTTCATTTCCATTTTTCCTCTCTTTTTATTTTCTTCAAGAGGTAGATATATTTTATGTTAAATTCTAGGGTTTTATTTTGGCTTGAAAATTTTCAGATTTTTGAGAGGAATACTACTTGGAGCTCAAGTTATTGATTCTTAAATTTCTATCTATACTAAGGTAAGGAGATATTAATTTTTTTGGGCAAACCCTAGTTTTTAAATTTGATGATTGAGCATGGATTATTTGTGGAAATGATTACATTAATGGAATTATTCATTTGGAAGAATGATTTTGGGGAATGACAGATATATTAATTTGGTTGTATTATGATTTCTCGTTTTTCACTAAAATGAAAGGGACAAATATTGTTATGATTGTAATGAAGTTAAATTTGGATGTTGTATATGATTGTGAAGGTATTAGAAAGTGGAAATTAGCTTCGATTGATTAAAGGAAATTTAGAAAAATTTCGCAAGTTTCGGGGAATTTAATTTAATTATTATATCATTAGAGATTAACTGTTTCTTTATTTTAATAGTGATTAAATTAGTTATTTGTAACGTATTACAGGTGGTGACGAAGAATTGTAAAAGCTTACCGACTGGCCTAGTCTGTAGCTCGTATTGAGTGAGTGGATATAAAACTTATTTTTCAGAAATAAGTCTTCTTTAAATTTTAAAGTTATTTATTTTATAAAGTTGACTTCATAGCATGATTTTTAGAATAAAATGGATTTTATTATCAATTTCTTTTAAAGTTAAATTCAGTTCAATTAAATTATTTTAGTAGCATGCTATATTCTTATTACATCTTTCAGTATAGTTAAAGTTATTTCTAAAAATTACCAGAAAGTACCCAAGTGATTTTACCCCAGTGTACACTGATATGAATGTGTTTCCACGGTGTATGATCAGTATAGTGATTTTACCCGCTTTGCACTATCGTGAATGTGTTTTCATAGTGTATGACCAGATTATCAGATGTCTTTGGGACCCACTCTCGTACACACATAGGCTTTGGGTCGTGTACTAGGGTGATTAGCCTTTGGGGCAGCTCTGCGTACGTATGACCAGATTATCATCTATCAGATTTGAATGGCTTTGCCTTATACATCGAGATTACTCTGAACATGAGTAAGGCTATTCATTAGATACTCTTTTTGGTGTGATTTTTCAGTATTTATTCAGTTCTCAGATTTCAAATTATGGATTTCAGTTTTCAGAATAAAGCTTTCAGCTTATAGTGTTGACCAATAGCAATATTTCATAGATTTTCATGAATATCAGATTATTCGTTAACTTTACATCTACTTATCTAGAATTAAGAACAAGGAATTGTATGATGCAATCATGTTTTGGTTTTAAAAGTGTTACTAGATTTTAGAATTTTTCAACGATTTAATAAAGCCAGAATTTTCAGAAAATATGTAGAAATGGGAAAAAGTATATTTATTCGCAAATTATCCACTCACTGAGCTATAAGCTCATATGTCTTTTCATCTTTTTCCTTATCAGATAGCAGCTGAATTGAGCAGCTTTGGAGCCTGTTGTTCTACCATATTGAATCACGCGTCATAGGTTGTATGGCCTACTTTACCAGGCTATGTAGTATATGTTTCTTTGAGTTATATGTAGTTTATGTCAGAAAAGGTTATCATGGGTTCACTTCATAATTTGCGTCTTTAGTATATTTGAGAAATGTTGGTTGCAGAGAAAGGAAATGTTGATTTGCCGATTTATTTGAATAGTTTGTATTTTGAGGGACTAGCGTATCCTATTTATATTATAGGTATTGATTTGAGGAAAATTAGTTGTTTTTCAGTGGTTTTAATTCATATTTCAAGGGAAACTCTGTCAAAATTTTGTTAAAAATATTCTTGAGTCCAGCAAGTCAAGTTGCCTTGGTGGTGGGTTCGACGTTTACCTAGTATCTACCATCGGTGCACAACACGTGTCGAATCCATTATGGTGATTCGGGATGGGTCGTGTCAATTGGTATCAGAGCATGATACAGTGGTTGTTAAGCTCGAGTAATTCATAAGTTCTTATTCGGAATTGTATGTCATTGAGATTGTTAGCCTTGACATGGTGACAAAACTCACAGGCTCCAATATGGTATTTGAAACTCATATTACCCTTGATAACGAATATATGGCAGCTAAGAAACTAGAAGGATCTTTATTGATTTGGGCATAATAATTATGAGATGTTATTGATGATTATCTGATTGTAAGACGAGTTGTTAGAATTGTCGTGTTGGCGCTATGTTATATTTTCTCTAATATATTAATAATTGTGCTATAGATCCAACATGCAGTTAAGCGAAGAGTATAACTTTTCTTAGTAATGAGATTTATTGGGTTATGAGTTTCTCTTATGACTAGAGGAAATGTCTTGTAGATGCCTTGGATGATAAGTATGATCTAGTGTTGATATATGTATAGTTGGTGATGTTACGAGTTGAAATCTTGATTGCCTTGTAAGGTAAATAATTGAGGTACTACGAGAATTATTGTAGAAAATTGTGATCATATTTAGTATATGGAGGAAGATGCATATATTAGAAAATCAAAATGTGGAGATATGATAAGGAGTCTTGTTTATGACAAATAAATAAATAATGAAACCATATGGAATGTTGATTCATGACGAAAAATGGTGTTATTAAATCTGTTTTACTTTGTGATTTTGAGTAAATTAATGTGATCATGGCCTATCTTTTGTTGATTCAGGGACAAGCAAGTATCTAGGTTCGTATTTCAACTACTATTGAAGGAAAGAAGGATTGGAATTTATCTTGATATGCGCATATCTAATGGGTGACATGAATAAGAAATAGCATAAAGTTGAAGAACGTGAGAAAATTAGCATGATTAAATGTTTAGATCTTACGGTATTAAGATATCCAATATAACAAGGTTTTATAATTCCGAAGGACATTATGAATGGTAGTGCACTAAATTTATAATTAGTGGTACGTCAAAATAATATTGGGATTATTGTGTTAGATTAAAATCAATTGAGAGGACATGTTAAATTATAAGTATAAGTTGAGTTCTATGAGTTTTATTTTGCTATTGGACTACAATCTCTGCAGTTGTGATTTTAGATTTCATGAATTAAGAATTTCATTCTCATCGAAGTAATATGATAAGGAATTCATGGATGACAGGTTATCTTATTGTCGAGACTAGGATTAAAGAATGTTTATTTTGGATATGATGGTAACTTAGCTAAGGTTATTCTAGCATAAAACTTTTATAGACATTTGAAGATCAGTAAGGATTTAGATTCACATTGCGTTATCGAGGTCATGGCGTTCTAGTATGGGAAATAAATTTGGTGTCGAGATGATATTTATTAAAAAGGAAAAACAAAATCTTGATGGTAGATTAATGTGTGAAATGTCCCTTGATAATTATAAGGAGCACTATTTTTGTGATCTTAAGGAAATAGGTATAATCATCAAATTATACAATGTGACCATAAATGACAAGATTACATGATATGGTGAATGACAAGTAAATTAATGTTATGGTTGTCCTATAGCCAAATAATGTGATGAGATATTTGGGTTATTAAGTTGTTAATTTTGTTAAGGCCATTTGTTGGATTAATATGTTATATTACATACCATTTGGAGGCTTTAAGCTAAATTCTAGAAGTTACGATGAATTTGATCAATTTTTAGTAAAGTAATTTTTGGATTAGTTTCGAATGTACTTTTGGATTTCACGAATAAAATATTCTATTCTTATTGAGATCTATTAGCTATGGAATATATGGATAATATGTTGGATAATCTAAAGTATATGGTGATTGTCTAATGCAAATTTTACTCGATTGTGGAATCATAAGCTATGGATTATATTACAGATCGTTAAAGACTTATGATTAAAACATGATATATAGTTGGCTATATTGGAGTAGACATTTAGAAATTGTGGCATCACATGGTGGGAAGATCAATACTTACTAACCACATGATGTTAAAGTATATTTGTATTCGAAGGAGTTGAACTTGAAGTTGTGCATATTATCATTGGGTGATATAGAATTAACGAAAATGAACACCATTTTGAGCTATCCCAATTGTTGTTGGGGATACCTAGAATTTTAGAAAATTACGAATAATTGAATTTTTACAGATATTGTCAGTTGAGAATGGAAGTGGTTACCTTTAAATATTTTTCATTTGGAGCTCTAGGTATATAGAATGGAGACGAAATGATATTGGGATCATTGTTAATAAACAGATAAAGGTTACAAGATTCTTTTCAAATGATATAGTCAGTTCATGCGATAAATTTATAAAATTGCATATAAATAAGATTATAATTTATATGGTGGAGTTGAGTATCTGTCTTTGACTTAGTTGTAAGGGGTTATAAGATTAAATTACATTGTGCTGCTTCTTTTAATAGAATGTTCGACACGATGAGTACAAGTTCAGAAGAGAGGTTATCAACTATGGTTTGTTAATTAAAGAGGGCTTGGATGATTATTTATTTTTCATGGATTTGATCTATAAGAATTAGACACAAGTGGCAATAATTGAGGTTATTTGTATTGTTGAAATACTCCAAGGAAATATTTATTATGATGAAATTGGCAAAAGGAAGTTATTTGATCCTAATAGGTAATCACTGTTATAAAAAAGGATTAGAGGATAGTTCAAATCATGACAAAAGGTGGAGTTTTGGAGAATATGAAAAGTAATATCTTGAACTTCGAATTGGGAAATAGCTGAATTTTTCTAAGATTTGTAAAATGAAATGATTGAGAATATTCATATATTGGCCTTTGTGATGTTATTTAAAATTTGGGTCCAATTTATTAACGATGAAGTTTACAGCGGGTTTATCTTGGTATTTAAGAATGTATTGTCTATTTCTAAGGCTTAGTAAGTGGATGTCAGATTTACCTTATGCTTTCAGATTATTACTAAAGTTGAAGAGAACTTAACTTAGAAAAGCCAAATAAGGTGTAAGATATGAAAGAATGAAATGTGGTTAGTGAAAGGTTGTTGGAGAAATTATTCAGTGAAAGAGGCATAATGGCATGTGAGGATGAATTGTGTACTCTATGTCTTTATATGTTTGAATCTTAGCTAATTGAATTTCGAGGATGAGCTAGTAAGCTTATATGGTGCTCTACTATCTGTGGTGTCCGATAGAGATCTTCACTTTACATTTAAATTTCGGCATAGTATGAAAGAAGCCATGGGTACTAAACTACATTCAATGCAGTTTTTCATTCTCTGACAGATGGCCAGTTAGAGAGGACCATACATATTCTTAAGAATATGTTAAGGGTGTGTGTTTTAGAGTTCTAAGGTAGTTGGAATACCTAATTGTTGTGGATGGATTTACTTACAATAACAATTACCACTCCAGTACAGAAATGTCTTCTTTTGAAGTTTTATATGGTAGGAAGTGTATAACACCATTTTGCTGGTATGAAAACGGTAAGAGAAAATAGGCCCTAAATTAGTTCAAACGACTTTAGAAAATGTGATATTGATCAAAGAAAAGTTGAGAGCAACGCTAGATAGACAGAAAAGTTATGCAGATAGACGCAGGAAAGATCTTGATTTCGTAGTAGGAGGTAAAGTTTTTCTAAAATTGTTGCCTTGGAAAGGAGTTTTGAGAT